CATGTCACCAAAGGTGTCCGCTCGAAGTCCGCTTGTCTTGCTTCGTGATGGTGCATGTTTCGCCACTTGGCAAACTTCGCACTCACTTCGGATCTTGTCAAATAGATCGAATGTTGATTTCGGCAAATGAAGTGCTCGGGTTCTAAATCGAAATTGATCTGTCGTCATGTGATGATGCTGCAGGTGGAGTTTCTTCAATTCTTCTGGATTCGACAATCGCTTGTGGATTCTGCCTAGGGCAAGCGGAAGCGATGTTGGTTCTTCTGAGGATGGTGCGAAAGGATCTGGCTCAATAGTTGACTGGCCCCTCTTGTCGATGATCCTGTCTGCTGCCGATCCTGAACCTGCTTCTACGTCCTTCAGCGAATTGTCTGAAAAGGTGAAAATGGTCTTACCTATTCACAGGTTAATCATCGGTTTATTTGCCTGGGATGTAAGTCTCCAATTGTCTTCCAAGATATCTGGATCTCCACCTGTGGATGCATCAATGATCTCCGTGGTACGTTCTCGGCTGATGTGATCGGGATTGATTGGACATTCCTTGGCTCCATTTGGTGTGAACAGCGCCTTTCGGGGCGTGATATGCACACGGATGAGCTGCTTGTTCTTCTTGTCAAGGATCCAATGTCCTGCTTTTGAGATCCAATGATCTTCGGAGCTGCTAGGTCCTCCTTGGTCTCGGATGATTTTGCTGAAATTTGATGCTGTTATCATCGTCATAGACATAGTTGGTGAGGCCCTTGTGAGCAATTTCTCCATGTGCCTTCACTCTTGCAACTCCAGCGAGATCGACGAGTGCATGTCCTGTACCGGATACTGGAACTGCTTGACGGTTCATGCCAAAGGCCTTGCATGTGATCTTGTCACATTGAGGTGTGTGCTCGATGATCATGTAGAGGTTCCGCATCTGGCTGATGCTGAGAAGGATCGGTACAGTTCCTTGTTCAAGGATGTCGATGTTCGGTACATCCGTTGTCCAGAATCGCATAGGTCGGGTTGCGCTGAGGGTTGATGACAGGCGCCATCAGCTTTGTTGCCAAAAGGCTGTGATTTGTCGTGACGGACAGATTGTGTTCTGAAACTGCATCTGATTGGATCAGCTTCTCGTGGATGGCCTTTTTCCCAGGATACTCATATGCATCATGGAATGCCATTAACGCTTGTCCTGTACTGGATGTCTCATGGGATGAGTACCAGCCACGTTCGTTCCATGTCCATGATTGATCCCAGTCTTGGTCTGTCCAACCGGCATAGGTGCAGTCTGCTGGATGGCGGGCTGCTCCTCCGTCTTTTCTGCGGTGGCTGCGAACGTCTTGGATTTTCCTTTTTCCTGTCCGCTCTTTCCCTTGCCACTCTCATAGGATGGATAACCTTTGTTTCCATCATAGGGATATTGGAATTTTGATTTTCCTTTCTTTCCCTTCTTTCCTTTGCCTTTTCCCCAATGTGCCTGGTCGTAGGGATCATAGTTTTCGTTGGCCATATTGGCCTTTCCGCCAGAACCGCTTTTTCTGAAGGGTTTGAAGCCACCTCGTTGGGGACTGCCCTTCTTGTTTCCTGATTTTCCTTTCCCTTTTCTTGAACTTGAAGTTCCGCCCCGACACTTTTCTTGCTATGAACGCATCGTTCTCCTCGAGGACCCAGAACGTATCTTCATCGTTGTTTGACATGAATCCTTCAAGCCCTTCTTCATCCTCAACCCAGAAGCCTTCTTCTCCTTACCCAGTCGTCCACGAGTTCTTCATACCTGAACCAGCTGACTTTTCCGTCATACGATGGCGGTCATCGATGAATTAAGTGTTTCCTCCGTGCTCGGCTTTGCCGAACTTGTATAGGCTTCCATGAAGCCTTCTCCATCTGATGACATCAGAGCTGGTTCCGCCCTTCTGTAGTGATTCACATGCCGGGCACTTGAAGTCCAGAACGGCTTGAACCTTCCATGGTGGTTGGCCGGCATCACGTACAATTCGTGCCAGATTGCGATTCGTAGGATGACCTGCAGATCGATGAAAGCGGGCCACCTTCGCCTTCCACTGCTGCGAGCGCGTTGATGCCTTGGCCCTTGTCTTGGTAGGGCGAGTGGTCGGCGAAGGACGGACCATCTTGTGGTTCTTGATGTGGGTCCGAAGAACCTCCTCCGCGTCGATCTTTTTCTGCATCGCGAGGCATATGGTTGCGGTCGGTTTGGAACCTTCCATCAACGGCTGAAGTTCCTTGAGCATGCGACGGACCATCTCGGGCATGTCCGTCTTGGTGGTCTGGCCGTGGGAGCCGTGCCTCGGAATGTAGGACATGCGGACGTTGCAGACCTGGCAGTGCACCCACTGACCGTGAGGGTTGCTCTTGGCGACATCCTCCAGGTGATTTCCGAAGCATGGCCACTGAGTGGGATCCGCCCTGGGATCTCGGGGATCCATCATCATGGCCCGTTCGGGACCTTCGGGTCTGGCTGTGCCCTTGGTTGGTGGAGTCACAGGCTCCTTCGCGGTGGTCCCGGTGGACTTCTCCGAGCGGTACGCTGGCATGGCTGGTAGGACTCCGCTGTCGAATTGGGGGACTTGGTGCTCAGAGCACCCATGGAACCGGAGCTGGCGGCACGTTCAAGCTGTTGGCGATACCGAAACCCGTGATTCTTCAAGAACCTTTGCATCATGCCGGTGATCCATGACAGTCATGTCGAAGTGAACCGGGTGGAACTCAAGAACGTGAATGTTGGACTCTGGGGTGGTTACCTCGTCATGCACACGGATACTGACGTGACCTTCAAGGCAGGTTTTGTTGCGGGTGAGGTACTCCACAAGGTCCAACATGTAATGTCCCTTAGAGTTGGCACTTCAGCTGAAACACGGAGGGGTTGCAGTCAGTAGAGTCCATGGCCATTCCTGTACGGAAATCAATGGTCAGTGCAGTGGTGGGACCTCCCAAGTGATCCATGCCAATGACGTTGGGCACCAAGTTGCTTCGGTCGAAATCAGGGCTGTGCAGTTCAGGTGGATTTGGAAGAGCAAAGATTTTGAATGTGCGTTCCGTACCCGAAGCTCTTGAAGTGATTGCAACACGAAACAAGGCCCGTCCCCAGCGACCGCTGCCAAACCTGAAATACGGGCGCTCGGACTTGAAGATCTCAACCTGGGTCTGATGGTCCTTCGCCATCACGGCACTGATCAAACCCTCTATAGCTACTTGTGGACCGGCTGATGCAGTTGCACCGCAATCCAGAAGTCCCTCACTGGGAAGTGCACCGGAGTTGGCTGTAGCATAGGCCTCCAAGGCGTGGTCCAACTCCAGGCCACCCAAGAACATGTCGGAGGTGTAGGCGTTGACAGGGGCTCGAGGTGAAGGTTTGCCCTTGCCTTTGGATGGTTTGCCCTTTTGCCAAGCTTGGGCTTCCATCCAGTGAAGTTTACCCTTTTTGTGCTTGCCCTTGCCCTTGTGAGTGTAGTAGTTGTCGAACCAGCTGTAGGGCTCGAGGTCGTTGTAGTAGCCGTGTTTGGACTTGCCCTTGGAGTAGCCCTTGGGTCCGGGGTGACGGCGATCAGGACAATCGCGAGCAAGGTGACCGCCACCACAGTTGAAGCAAGGTCTGGGAGAACCATGTCCCTTGCCGGAAGAGCGGTCCACTACATGGCCGAAACCCCGATCACGACGAAGAGCTGCTGTGGCACGTTGGGCTTCTGTCCAGGACCTTTGTGCCTCAGCTGCCAAGGACTCAGCAACTTGTTCGGCATGTTGTGCATCTTGAAGTGCAGGATCATCAAGAGCAACATCAGTGTGGTCACCCGTCTCAGTGACGTTGGTCGCGGCATGATAGTCCTCGATGTAGGGACTCCATGATGGGTCTTCATCCCAACCCTCAGCAGTAAAGGAGTCGTCCCACCACCACACGACATCGGGATCAGGATAGTCCTCCATGTGGTAGGCCTTCTGATAGTAACCTTGATGAGCGGCGGGTTGATGCTGTCGACCGGTGAACTGCTCATCCCACAAGGTCTGAAGTGCACGGGTGATCACGTCGAACTCCAAGCTGCCCCTGGTGGTGCTGATGATGTCTCTCTTTTCTTCAGGAGAGAGACCGGCTGCTTGCAGAAGATGGAAACCTCGAAGTACACCAAGGACGAAGCTATCCGCCAGGTCCAATTCGCCCAAAGCATGGTCGCTTGGTTGGACGCCAACGGATTGACGATGGCTTGAGGAGTGTGGTGAGCCTTCAGGGACTCGTTGGTGGCGTCCTCCGGGTGAACCACTTTCGGCTTGTTCTTGAGGAGGTCATTCGCCCTGACCAGGCTCTTCAGCAACAGTTTCAACGGTGGGTCCAGTGGCCTCATCGTGCCACTCGGCCCAGCTTTCACCGGTTTCATCCCAAGGTTCGGTGTAGTACTCCTCGTTGGGGAGGCCAAAGTCTTTGTCCTCCTGACGGATGCCCAGCTTCTCCTCGTGGAGCCTCAGAATCGCCTCGGTGAACTCGCTGTAGCCCAAGGCTTTTCTGACCAAGAACGAGTTCGCGGAGATCCCGCGCTACCACAAATGGAGGCCCACTGCCCAGGTGCCTATCCCCGGAGGGAACTGGAACCCTGTGGTAGTTGAGGTCGTTGTTGGTCCCTGGATCTATTCCGGAGAGAGTCCAATATGCCAGTAATGGATGATTGGAGGATGGATTGTCCCTGGTGGATTGTCTGATGGATAATCCTGTAAGCGGCCTACGCTCGGATGGTCGTGATTGAAAGGGGGCCTTGAGCCAAATGTTGCGGGAGATGGTCTGAAAAACAGAACACCGGGGGGGGGGGGGGCACGATTCAGGAACCAAAGGACCATCTCACGTCGCCTCTCACTCAGACTCAGACCTAGGCCGAGCTTTAACTTCAGCTGCGAAAAACCTGTTCAGTCAGAGTCCCTGTGCGGGGAGTGAAACGGACTGTTCAGCGGTTTGATGCAAGTTGAGCTTTCAGCGCATCAAAATGTTTGGCCCTACCCTTCCAAGTTGACGAGTACCATCCCCGCGCCTGGCGCGTTCATGTGCCGATTCACTCCCGGGGCGCCGTCCTTAAAGACCTCACGCACCTGAACGCAAAGGTGAACGACCAACTGTCCCTTGCGGCCCTACGGGTGGGCACTGGGTGAAGGATTGCATTGTTGAGGGAGGGGGCCACGTACACCTGCAAAAGGAAGAACGCAGCAAGTGCCAAAAGTCTTGCAAATCATGCCCATGACCCCAAGGAGAAACCGAACTTCTCGCAGAATCCCCTGCCACGCCCTGGTGGCGTCCCGCTTGGCTCGTCCCCAAGCCCCGCCTTCTGGGGAAAGTTCTTCACCAGCCAGGTCACGCCGAAGGGAGGCTCTTTGGCCCGGTCGCACCCGCTGTCGAAGCTCTCCGCCCGCGGGCCCCCGCATCTCCGCTTGATGCACTCCCCGAGGGCCTCGAGTTGCAGCCCGAAGCCCGAAGCCCGAAGCCGCCGAAGCCCGAAGCCCGAACCCAGGAAACCCAGTGACCTTTTGTGAGGGTAAGCCATTCCTGGGCCCAGTGCGCTGGTGTCTTTTTTCCCAATCCTAAGGGTTTCGGCTTTGACAATGAGGTCCGCGCAGGCTGCGGGCTCGCGCGGCCTGTCCTGCGAGCGCACCAGCCTGCTCCGAAGAAGCAGGCGTCACCTGCGCTTCGCAAGCATGCAACGGAGTCACTCTGAAGATGGGTGATTTATCCCCTTTTGTGGGGACTCAGACCCCTTCTGGAGGGGTTTTTTTTCCTAATGATGGGACGGGTTTATTAATCCTGGGTCAGCATTATTCCGCACGCCCGCTGGCCTGCGCGACACTTCTCTGCCTGTGTGGTGGCGTCATGGTCATCGTTGGGCCCATGCTCACAATCACACGGACAGGAGGCGTGCACTGCAGGAACCTGCGACACACCATCGCTTGGTTGGGACGTCAAATGTGCGCAACTGTGTGGGCGACAGGTTCCACTTGGAAGCGGGAAAATGGCGCCCTGGTTTTGCCAGTTCCTGCCGGTAAGACTTGCAGGGGGCCAGGAGTCTGACAACTTTCGACTTGGACCACAGCCAAAGCAGCCAAGTAGCTTGGGGCAACTTTGGCCCTGCTTGCCACGCACTAACAGCTGCCAGAAGCTGCCACACTTCCGTGGCCACCAGCGTCAACACCAGGCAGCTTGCAACCAAGGCACCTACAAGAGCAAAGGTGAGAGCGCATGCGTGTGAAGGCGCTTTGTCATGCCGAACACTCAATGAAAAAAGCCTTCGATCAAGCACCACACAACTGTCAAAGAGAGTGGGGCAGGGTCCGAGCATGCAGCTCAGTGTTTACAGGCACCCAGCCTCCCGTGGCCAGTGCCAGCCAGGGTTGCACCTCCCACACACACGCACCCTCCCCAGAAACAGAAAAATATGCTTGCGCGATGCTAATTTTCCCTAGACCAGCGCGCTTGGGGAAGTGCTTTGCTTTTCGGCGAAAAGCATTCAGCGTCGAAAACAGTTATCAGCTGGCAATCAATTTGTTTGTTCTCGGCGTCAAACGGGCGACGCACTAAACAAACACACATCTCCCAATGTTTGGAAAACAAGCTTGGCTACTTTGCCCACCTGCCCGTGCAAAAACCCGCCACGGCAGAGGCGTGGATCTGCCTCCTCAGGGCAAACAAACTGCTGAGCGACATGTTGATCTAGTTTGCGGTGTGGGTCTGTCACATGCCCAAGCTTTCCTCACTGTCAGAAGTACTGGTGCTTCTGAAGCGTTCCATCGCGTCATGCCATAGAATCATAAATTGGTATGCATCAATCGACCTGCTTCCATGTCTTTTGTACAGGCTCAAACTTGGACCTGGGCGTGTGTTCACGCCACGACTTGTACGCGAATGAGCAAGTAGCAAGGCAATTCCTGTCTTCTGCATATACTTGGGATGCACTGACACAAAAGGCCTGGAGAGCCCTCTAGATGATGTGCATATATCAATTGCATTCTGCATCTTTGGTCCTTGCCTCACTTACGCATGAGCCAAATGCGACACAACATGATGATGGCAACTGTCAACCCACAGCAACAACCACCACATTCAGATGGTACGTTCCCCCCATCTGGGGGGACATGGCGGGCCAGCAGTGTTGGCCTCACGGAAAACCGGCATCCGCAACATTGGCCGTCGTTGGGCCCTCAGCAGCGTTCCTTTTCTTGCTCTTCACAACCTTGATGGTTTGGTGCTTCCTGTGTGATGTTGCATGAAAGTGTCGTTCTTTTTGTTACAAACATGTGTGGGGTGCAAAGCCACCGAAACCCTTCGGGCACAAACGGCGATGATGAAGGCTGGCACACCCTGCATCACCCTGCCGCCACGCCTGGGAAGAGGCGTGCGCAGCGCAACACGACATTTGGAGCTTGCGCAGGACTAAGTCAGACAACAGCAGCCATCAAGCGACCCAAAAGCTGTTGAGCGGCAAAGCGGCAACAGCAAGCAGAGGTGCCGACGCAAGGCGGTATGCGGACCGGAGGGTAGTTTCGTGCACATCAATCATGCGAGGTGGCTGCGAGCCGCTTGCAGGCCTCGCCTGCGCCTTCCTTGCGGCGCTGCAAACGTTTGCTTGTGGGCGGGGCCTTTGTCTGCCTGGTACTGTTTGCGGTTTAAACGCGCTTGCCTCGAGTTTTGTTGCCATGAACTCCTGTGGGCAAAGCCAGGTGAAGGTGTGGGGAAACAACAGAAACAGCAGCAGCAGCAACAGCAACAGCAACAGCAGCAACAGCAACAGCAACAGCAACAGCAACAGCAACAGCAACAGCAACAGCAACAGCGCCAGCGGCAGCGCCAGCGCCAGCGCCAGCGCCAGCAGCAGCAACAACAACAACAAGAAGGGGGCACACTGTAGCAAGGCCTCCAACCTTGCCAAGCACGGGCAAGCGACCGCGTCAACACACAACCGTTTTTTTCCGCAGCGGCTCTGTCCATTTTTAGGGGGGGGCCTGGGCACAAGGGCTGCGCAGGCTGTTTTTTCGGAGGCCGGCTTCCTCACCTGCAAACGCTGTTTTTATGGAGGCCAGCACCCTCACATGCAAGGCCCTACCGGGCAGGCAGGCGGGACACATCCGGGGCATCCCGGACGCCCGCCAACAAGTCACTGATGTCGGGGCCGGGCCCGTCAAGGTTGCTAAGGCCAGGCGACGGCAGGCAAGTCAAGCTCTCAGCAAAAGCTAGGGATGCAGCCGCAGCGAGCAAGCCAGACCAGCGGTGCACGTACGCGCCGCGCAAAGCACAGCTGGGGCAGCACGAGCTTTGGCGTGGGCCAGCAAGCGCACAAACTCTGCGGCCTCAGCACTCCAGCGGCCCCCAACTTCAGCCCCGAGAACCACAAGGCGGCAACGAGCGTTGCCAACAAGCTCGGGGTACGTGGCCTCTTTTCGGCGCCGTGCCTCCTGCAAAGCGAGGGGGCGGGCAGGGTCTTGCAGGGAGCGAGCCACACCGTTGGCCGTGAGCGGCGACACAAGGGTCGTGTCGACCGCAAGCTGCGCTCCATTCCACAAGGGCAAGCCGTTGGCAATGACTTCGATGCGGCGGTCGTCAAAACGAGCGACCGCCACATTCAGATTGTGTTACAAGTGACACGGGCCCCCGCCTCCCTGCAAACACGAGCTGCCGCTCGCTCGAGCGGGCATCCCCGACTCCGCAAAACACCAGACCTAGCGCAGGCTGCTCGATGGTCGCCAAGAGGGTCGAGAGGGCGAGGCAGCTGCGCGCGGACAAGGGCAAGGGGAGGCGCAAACGCCGCAACAGAAGCGCACGCAGGTGGTCAGAAGGGAAGGTGAGCTCGGGGCAGGACGGCACACTGCAGAAAGGGCGGCTGCTGAAAGGCCCAGTCTGGGAAAACAAAAGCGCCTGGGACGCGGCGTCAAGCTGTGGCAGTAGGGCAGCTTGGAGTTGTTCAGCAATGGCAGTGGCAGCGGGCGCTTGCCAGACCCGGGCGCTGGGCTCGGGCAGGTGCCCGGACAAGTCCAAAGATGACAGCGGGGCTGGATTGTCAAGCAAATCCTCCCAAGAAGGCGGGCGAAACCCTGCCGTGGTCAGCGCGTCCTGGGCCTGGAGAACCGATAGTGCAGGTCCAGCAGGTTCCCGGGCACGAAGCCTTGCTAGGATCTCCCCGGCCAAAAAGTTGGGAGCTGGCCATGCAGCACGGGCAGCGTGCCTCCCACGACGCCCAATACGCAGCCGAAACTAGCGCAACGCCAGACCGCAGGTTGAGGCCGCCTTGCTGGAAAGGAAGCTGGGCGATCTGGAGGGCAGAGTCTGGAAGGGGGCCCAACACATGCGGCGATAGCCGCATCGTGGGACTCGGCAAAAGCCAGCGAGGCCACGGGCGGCAACGCACGCAGAACATGGGTGCACCGGGGAGAGGCGCAGAACAAAAGCAGCAACCAAGCGGACTGTAAGTCAGGGAGCGTGCGGATGCCTTGGAGGAGCTGATCTTGCTTGGCCCTCGTGAGCTGGAGCTGTGCCGCAACAAAGGCAGGATGGCCGCATGGGACGCCGAGAGCCACCAAACCCTGCTGGTCCGAAAGCAAGCCCCGGTCTCCGAGACAGCAAGTCAAAAACAACCCGGGTACGTTCCGGCGACGTGATGACATAAATGTCATCGAGGTAGGCCAACAGACACTCGTCCGGACGCAGTTGGCGGCGCACCTCGGCGAGGGCCGCATGCTGACCCAAGGCGGGCATCAACGGGTCGCCCTGTTCGCCGCCTTCCGCCTGCGAAATCAGGTGGGCCTGGCCGTCAGCGTCATGCCACACAAACCGGGAGGGGTCAGAGTAGAACTGGCGCACGAAAGGCAAGCACACATTGGCGCCGGGAGTGCTGGACAAGGGAGTGCTTGTCGGCTGATGGTATCAAATGCGCCGACGCCATCGACGGACAGGATGGTTGCGTCAGGACGGGACTCAGTGGCAACAAGGAGGGCGTGGGCCACGGCCTCCGTGCCGGCACGAGTGGACAAGGCAAACTGAAAAGGCTGGCACGCGTCCAGGAACCGTGTCGCAAAGTTTTGAGCCAAGGAGCGAGCCACCAAACGCCGCAAGAAGTCACCAACCACGATCCCCCGGACGCGCCCATTGGGTTTCTAAAGGGCAACCATGCGCCCCAGGCCAAAGGCCGCTGCGATGCACGGTGGGACTCTCGCCTGAGCCAAGGCGGAGGCAGCACGAACAAACGAGGAACTAGTCGCCTCGTCATCCAACGCCAGACGGCAGAACTCCGCTGTGTAACCAGGTTGGAAAGCCAAAATTGCAGCATCGATGGAGTCGTACGGCTGGTCGGGCCTCCGGGCGGGGTACTGTAACTCGGCCAGGGTGGCGGGTAAGCTCGCCCTGGCCGACTAATCGCGCAGCTCGCTCCGCACGACGTGCTGGATCGGCCGGGGCGGCGGGGCACCGGTTGCAGCTGGAACGCACGCAGCGGCGGACTCAAGCAGTGCCTCCCACCGGCCGGCTTGGAAATCCAAAAGCCGGGCACGCCACTCGGGCTTGGTAGGCCTGTGAGTGCCGGGGCGCCGGTGGAGAAGCAAGCGGGGCAGTAACAACAAAAGAATCCACGCTCGAGTCTGCTCGGTCTCGTTGTCAGGCCTGGCGGAGTCGATGGCCCGCAGGGCAAGAGACAAGGCCGCCCGGAAAGGGCCGCGGAGGAACTTCGGGGGGCTTTGGAAAAACAAGCACCGCGGCTGAAGGACACGTGGCAAATCAACCTGGTCAAGCCGGGCAAGGGCTGCTCGCACGGGTGGGCTTTCAAGTTCCGGCATTCGAGGCAAAAACAAAGGAGCTGCCGAGTCTGCATCAGGCATGGGGTCTGCCGGGTCGCCTGCCGGGGGCGCCGCGGAAGGCGAAGAAGGCGGCTTGGCCGGCTGGGGGCGGCTGTGCCAGTGGGACGGGCGTTGGAGCTCCCACTGGCGCCGCTGGAAGTCCAGGGCGGGCTGCGGGCAGCGGCTCCGGGGCGAGGCCCAGCGGGGCAACCGGGAAGTCCAAGAGGATCTGCGGGATGGCCTGGCAGGGGCGCCGCGGAAGGCAAAGAAGGCGGCCCGGGAAGTCCAACTGGCAAGCACAGTGATGAAGCAGGTACGGGAGCCACCGTCAACGCAGCGGGCCGCAGCGGGACCACCGGTGGCGTGGGCTGAGCGCCCGAACGCAAACGATCAGCCAACACAGACAAGTCAGAAGCAACACGCTCGTTTAGAAAAACTTGCAGCAACGCTTCCTGAGCGGAGGCAGGGACATAGCTGTGCGGTGTAAGGCATCGCTCCAACACCCACCGAAAATGCACAAGCGTGTGGGTCGGCAAGGCTGTGCCCGCCTCACGGAGCGACGGCACCAGCAAGGCTTCGGCCGCAGGAACACGTCGACCATCCAAGGCAGCAACATCCTGCAGGGCCTCAAGGACAGACAGGAACCGAGACAGAGGCACCGGCGGAGAACGACGGAGTTGAGACACAGCCGCCTGCCAACCGACGGCGAGAACGGGATGAGCTGACCATTGGCGTTCTGCATTTTGGAGCAAAAGGCCTCCGCCGGCAAGAAGGAGCGGCACGAAAAACCAACTGTTGACCGGAGGCACTTGGCCCTCTGCAAGGGGGGGCCGGGCAGCTGTCCAGGTGTGAGGACCTACCGCTGGCGGAGGCGCGGGCTCAACAAAATTCGCAGGCGCAACGGGAGCCGAGGTAACAAAAGCATCAAGCTCGGGAGCCACAGGGGCCATAGCAACATCAGCGTCATCAGAAGCAACACCGGCAGAGGGCGCGGGCTGGACAG